CTAAGGTAGGTTTTAGTGGGTCCTTAAGCACCTGCAATTGTATGCAAAATTCTATGTGTATACATATTTATGTATATACTTGAGTAGTGAGTGCATAACCTTTCTTGAATTATTGAAGGCATTCTTAAGACCTAAAAGTTTAAGAAGCACTGGAAAGATTAATTATAAAACAATTTAAAATACACTGATGGTAGGACCTTCCCTGGTGGCACAACGGGTTGAGCTGTGAAGCTGTCCGCAGCCTATGCAGCGTGGGTTCGAATCCCAGCTGGCCAGGGAGATACCCACATGGCGTGGCATACCTCTCCTGTCTCGCCCGCTGCTCCCCTCAGCAGTGTTTTCGGTTGGCCTGTTTTGCACCCCACTCTGTCTCTGGTGAATCCTCTCACCCTCCCACACCTCTAGCCTGTACTCCAGTTCTTGTATAAATAAATAAATCTTTTAAAAAAAAATTTAAACAAACAAACAAAAAAAATACACTGATGGGGTGTCCCTGGTGGCACAAGGGGTAAAACACAAACACAGCACTACAAAGCAACCCACAGCCTCTGCAGCACGAGTTTGATCCCCAGCTGGCCAGAGAGCTACCCACATGGTGCAGCAGACCTCTCCTGACTCACCTGTTGCTCCCCTCAGCAGTGTATTTCAGTCAGTCTGCCTGTTCTGTTCCACAATGTCTCTGGTGAATCCTCTCACCCCCCACAACTCTGGCCTGTACTCTAGCTCTTGTATGCATAAATAAGTAAATTAAAATAAAATATACTGATGGCTCTGACGTTATGTTTTTATAATGCTTTCCTTCACTCTGCTATACTTCAAAGAGCAGTGTGGTGATAGGGAAACAATGTTTGTCATTTTGGCGACATCTATGAATCCCAGTTTCTTCAATGTGAAATTACCATATAGTGGAAGGTTGAAATTAGATCCCATAGCTGAAAGCATGCAGCAGGGTGCTGTGAAAGGAGGTAATTGCTTCATAGATATGCTGTCTTCCCGTGCTTACTCTTCTTGAGAGAATGCAAGGTTATCTAAAGCAGGTACAACGTTTTCTTTCAAGTTTTGTTTTGTTATGCTTACCACGTTTTTAATATGTATGAAGCACGTAATAATATATGAGGACATGTAAGTTCACAGTAATTTCTGTTGATTATAATTATTTAAGTGTACTTTCACTATACTTATTATTATGGTAGGGTTTTAAACAATTAATTTGGTGCTTGTAAACATATTAGAAACTTGTCTAGTGGAGAAGAATAGGTAGACTATTATTTCCCCTGGGAAATAATAACTGGTTTATTCATTAAAATCCAATTGCTGAATAACTACAATACATATACATACTGGGCATAGGACTATGAGTTGCAGGTATTAAATCTTATCAGTCATAGACCCTTTCCAAGGCTTTTTTAGCAGAGCAAAACCTGTTCACCCAAAAGGATAGACCAAAATAGAAAGTACCATGGAATTTAAAAAAGGAAGAAAATGTATCTGGTATAGGAAGGAAGGTGAGTATGATGGAAAAGTGTCTGATGTGAACAAGGATTCATATATAGCAGGGTGATGAAAGGGACAAATAAAGGCATCTAAACATAATATTTGGGGCCTCCCTGGTGGCTCAAGGGGTTAAGCAGCGCACTAGGAAGCAATCCAAAGCCTCTGCAGCAGGAGTCTGATCCCCAGCCCACCAGGGAGCAACCCACCTGGTGAAGCAGACCTCTCCATTCTCGCTCCCCTCAGCAGTGTATTTCAGTCTGCCTATTCTGTTCCCTACTCTGTCTCTGTTGAATCCCCTCACCCGCCGCATCTCTGGCCTGTGCCCCAGCTCTTGTATGCATAAATAAATAAATCTTTAAAAAATAATTATAATATTTGTGCACAAATTGGAATGAATGGCTACTTGGTTTAGGTTGGTCATTGAGTACTTTAAGGGGATTAGCAAGATACTTGATAAAGAGCTATCATAGTACCCAATAATATTACCTATTACTAGTTTTTAAACACAAGTCCTTAATGAAAACTAACATAGAAGATGTAATAAGCTGGGTGAAATGTTACAGATGTCTGGTAATTAACTGGTCATTACTTTTAAAAATAGCACTTTTCTACCCATTCTCAGTGGAGGCACTGGTTGAATAGAAATGACATTGTCTCCTTAATGTTATTATTCCTAGCATTTTTTTCTTTTCTATTTTCCAAAAATCTTTATTTCAATTGTAGCTAATAGCAGTAATGCAGCATCAGAAAATGGCTTTTGTTATGAGAGAGCAACTCTCACTCCTCAATTTGTACTCGCTAAATTATGATAACACTGGCCAGTTAATCTACTAAATTTTTTTTTTATTGTTATTGGGAAGTAGGAGATTGACTTCAGTACAATCTTGTCAAACCTGCAAAGCACCTTCAGTTCACTTATCATCTAATACTGTACATTCTTCTACGTTTATCCCGCTTCCATTTCTGAATAACGGGCAATTAATTTTTCCTTTTCCTAGGAAACATTTAAAAGAGCAATATAAAGTCATAAATCAGTCTCAGTCATGAAATCATACATATATTTCTTCTTAGTGTTCTGAATTTAGAAATGCTCCTCAGAAATTGTTTTTAAACATACTAGTCTAATTTAAGAAATCTCTTAAATTTAATTATTATCTCCCTTGCACTTAAATGAAAATTTAAAAATTCTGACTTATTTTCTTTCTTCAAAAAAAAGGAGGCATCTCCAACTCTCGTCCATAACTTACTTCATTTCACCTGTAAAATAGCAGGTATGATGCCTATTTAGACAACAGTTCCTTAACCTTGATTCATTTCTTGCCAAAGAATTCAGTTTAGAGAAACAAAGTAATAAACACTTTCAATTCTAATCATCATTAAAATATTCTCATGCAGTATTATAAATATGAAAATGCTTTTTAAAATCACAGGAATTTTTACTGTACTTGAGATCAATTGCACTAAATTGTATTGATATTTCCTATACCTTGGGCTAATTTCTTAAAAGTGAACTATTATTTTAATATATGCTATCATTTATGATAAAGAATAATTATTTATATAGTCAAATATTTTAAGATTGGGGTAGAAAGGTCGGTAGAATAAAAGGTTTTGTTCTTGTTCTTTGTTCCCTCCTCTAGTTCATGTGCCTGAGTCCAAATTCTAGAATCTTGAAAATTTTATATTTCAAGCCCAAACCACACTCAAACAACAACAGTAACAATAATAATAGCATCACCCCAAAAATTAAATTGGCCGTCAGATTTTTATAATCAAAGGTAATATTTCCTGGAGTGGGTCACTTGAAGTGTGATTTGCCCACCCCCTCTGCTCCTTCTACCTCATATTCTGAGTTGGAGACAAAGAAACCAACTCAAATCTTTCTAAAGTGTATTTCATTAGAAGAGAATTTGAAATCAGAAAAGCAATATTGATGTGTTGTTATCTAAAATAAATGTTCGAAAAAGAAGGTAAATAGAGGTCAATTTTTTAGCTATAAAAACTACCCCTTTCTAATTGACCTTCTGTTTTAATTTGCTAAAATAAAATTACATGGCTATGAGTCAGACTGTCTCTCTAATTTCAAGTTTAAAGATAACAGATCTCCTTTTAAATAGAATACTGGCACACAGACACCTCACAGTCTGGCTTACTGCAACTGTTCTCCTTGGTGAAGTGGCACATTTGCAATCCCCACCACAGCCATCTTAACCATTTCACAGGATATTACTCAAATGTACATCCCTAGGTGGCAACAGGAATAGGCATTGGAGCTCAATAGCAGGGGTTTTGTGGAGAAATTCTAGGACAAGAGGTAGAGTTTCCTAAACGGGAAGATTTTGAGGATACTCAAACAACCCAATCCAGCTGAGATTGAGAAGCTCTATTTCAGACTCCCAGTGGGGAAAGCCTTGCTGGAGGTTTTTGGGGAATCCTAGGTCAAAAGCACTGCTTGATTTGGGGGCAGGACTTGCCCCAAATCTTACCCAACTAGGTGCCTCATAAACCAGCAGGAGCCAGAATGCTTCAAGAAAAACTGGATAGACTGACATTCACATTTGTACTTCCACCTATGCACAAGAAGCAAAATATGTAGGTGTAGATACTGTCCTCTCAAACCCTTCTGGTAGACAGTGACTACAACGAAGGGAGAAATTATAGGAAATCATGTTGGTGCTAAGCTAAAAGCAAGATTTTGCTTGCCATGCATGGGGGGGACAGGAGTAGGGCAGGACACAGGTAACAGTATACATATGCATAGAAAATGCCAAAACTGGTGTAGAGCAATGCCCTTTCTAGATCCTTGGCAAATTCTGTTCTGAAACAGAGCTGTAGAATAAAAACTGACAAAAGTTGACCCGTGAATGGGCATAACATCCCCGGGGGGAAAAAAAAAATCAATGAAATGATTGGCAGAGACGATGGTAAATGAATGGAGAAGTGGAGACAAGTGCTGCTCAACCCAAGCTGAACTACAGGAAATAAAAGAAGTTGTTCCCTTAAATAAGAATTCTTTCTAAAGGATCACTACTGAAGTAGGTACTTGACATTGAAATGAGCACAGACCCATTATGCTAACTGGGAAGGGAGAGATCTGAGGTTGTAGAAAGAGGGAGGATTTCTGATGACATCCCCAAGCAGCTGCCAAGGACCTGCTGCTCCAAAATCAGAAAATAACCAAGTGGAGGCTAAAGGTAAAACTGATGAAGTGTAACTCAAATTATTTCACATTTTGAATCCTCTTCAATGCCTAAGGGAGTCTGGCATTGAAAAGCTTCCTGATCTTTAAGAGTATAGCGCCAGATCGCCCTCTTTGTTTGCCCTGTAACAGCTCCTGCAACCTTAAGCACTCGGCTGATTAACATTTCAGTTCCAGTTGTGGCTCCCGTTCCCATGGCAGAATGCAGATGGGGCATTCCCCTTGTCTCTGTATCGCACACCCCATTATTAACCGAGCGAAAGCGCCATGCAATGTGACCGAAGCTAATAATAGCCGGGCTGCTTACCTTTCCCGGCTTGAGTCAGCACCGGTCCCCGCGCCCGCTGCCCAGGGGCTGCAGAGCCTCCGCGCCGGGCCGTGTGCCTGGTCAACCCCGCGGCCCCCGCCCCACCTGCCAGCTGCTGCAGCTGCTCCCGCCGCGGAGCTCAGGCTGCATGAAGTCATCCCCCGCCCCGGACCGGATCACCACATTCCACGCCAGCCGCAGGGGGGAGAGGGGCCTCTCGCAGTCACTGGGAAGGGCGCCTGGAAAAACTACACAAAGACCGGTGGCCCTTGGGGTTTTTAGATTTATTTTCTATTGATGATTTTCCGGAGGAAGCGTCTCCAGAGCGTGGGCCAAGAGAGAAGCGCCGGAGAGACTGTCTCTGCATAGGGCCTTCCTCTGAGGGTTCCCCTGTCACGGCCGCAGCATGGACAGCTCCAGTCGGCTGTGTGGGTTTCCCACCCTCTTCTGCTTTATCAGTATTGTTCATTTTGCTGAATTTGAGAATGGGATTGTCTTTTAAGATAAACAGACAAACACTCCGAACATGTTTTGCACTGGCAGCCAGTCTCTCTAAGCTCCCTGTGGCATGCTCCACTTTCCCCTAACACACATGAACACACATGGACACCCATCCACACACTGGCAAACCCTTGTGTGTTATGAAAGCTGGGACTTTTGGCCCTGTCGCCTACGCAAGGGAACTGGGAATTCCCAAAGGAGTGAGAAGTAGGAAGGACCAAAGAAAGCACTCAAGGAAACAGGGTCAAACCAGGATTTTACTGCTACTTAGTGATGCTCTTAGGGAGAGCCATGTTCCCTGTCCTCCACTCCCCCCCCACCCCCAAATCGGATTGACTGTTGTGACAGTTTTAGCCTTTGGAAACCCTGAAGCAGAATCCACACATTAATAATGGCTGTATCTCTTTCCTTCTGAAAAAATTTATCTGATTTGGCCGTAGGAATAATAGGAGCGTAGAAGCACCTTTATTTAAATTTCCCTCTTTACATTGGCGCCAGGAATTAACAAGGTTAGCTACTGTCCCCACCCCCCTCTCTCCCTCCCTCCCTCTATCCCGCCTCCCCCCTCTCTCTGCCTCTTTTCTTGCTTCTATCCCTTCTCTCCTGCCACCCTTCCCTCCTTCTTTCTCATTTTCTCCCACTTCTGCTGACGAGATCAGCAGTTTTGGGGGGTTAAAGGGAAAAAAAAATTCAAGGATATGCTCTCTTTACAGCTGAGCCAGGGTTTCTATTCCCAATGAGGATTCATTCCCATGTAGAGAGTGTTCTTGAAATCAGGGTTCTGTATAAATGGAGCTCCACCGTTCAATTTGCCTTATTTTTGGACTTGCCCATTACTAGTTCAGGCCAGTTTTTTACTATGTGGATTTGTCTAGCAACATAATGTACTGCACAAAGCCAGAGAAATAACCTTTTTAGCATTTCCAAAATTAGAAGGTTGTGTAGCAAACAGAATCCCAGGGAAGCTCAGTACGAAACCTTGGACATAGAATGTATACTTTTTGAAAGTCGGAACAATCTTTTTCATCCCTCTGAGCCTCACTTTCATAACATTAGGCTATTAATATAACCATAGGACAGGAATTTCTTGATCAGTATTAAAGGGTATGTGGAATCTGGATGGGAATATTGTATCTCTCTTTTCATTAACCTATAACTGAAAATTAGCATTTCCTTTAAATATTAACAGAGACAACAAACCACAATAATATTTGAAAAGTACCTGTTAAATTTGTCATCAAATTTAACCTCCCTGGTGGCACAAGGGGTTAAGCACAGCACTATGAAGCAATCCAAAGCCTCTGCAGCACAAGTTTGATCCCTGGCTGGCCAGAGAGAAACCCACAGAAGTAGACCTCTCCTGTCTCACCTGCTGCTCCCCTCAGCAGTGTATTTCAGTCATTCTGCCTGTTCTGTTCCCCACTCTGTCTCTGGTGGATACTCTCACCCCCTCCCACCCCCGCATCTCTGGCCTGTACCCCTAATCGTGTATGCATAAATAAATAAATCTTTAAAAAAAATTTGTCATCAGTCCTATTATAATTTTCAATGATATCTCAAAATATCACTACCCTGATGTTACAATTAAATTATCTTTTTTTGTTTTGTTTTAAATCAGCTCTAGATTTTTAGAAATGATTTTAGATGTGCACTAAAAATTAAGGAGATAGTAGAGTTCCCATATATATCATTCACAATTTCCTCTATTACTAACATTTTATACCAGCATGGTAACTTTGTTACAACTAATATTATAATTGATATTTTAGTTAAAGTTTTTATGTTTGAACTTCTTTGTTATAATATCCTTCATTGTGTTCCATGCTCCCATCTAGGATATCACATTGAATACCGTAATTTCAGATTTTCAGGCCTAGTCTCCTAGCCAGGAACAGATCCCAGGCTGCAGTGGCAGCTCTGTGTCCCAACCACTAGACCACCCCCGGTTGGTGTCTCACAAAGTGGCAGCAGGAACTTCACAGACATTCAGGCAAGCAAGTGAGAAGAGGCAAATTTGTTTAGAGAAGAAAAAGTTTATTAAGGAGAAAAGGAACAAAATTAAAGTGCAACTCCCAGGCTGGTGGAACCAGGTCAAGAAGGGCAAGGAAGCTGCAGTGGATTTGTGCCTCAGGGAATATACACCTTCTCTCCCTAATTATTCTAAAGTGCCACCAGTCTCTTTGTGGAGTATGCTTTTCTTTATCATCCTAATTCTGGAATGTCCTGTTGCCTCTAGTCCTGGGGGTGTTCAATTTGTACCCTTTGGAATTTGTTGCCCTTATCTCTGGGCCCTTCTTCTTCCTCCCAGGTTTTTCCTAGTCTAGTCAGACCCTAAGGGCTCTCCACTTGCCCTATGACTCAACCTTACATTTAACTGTGTCCCCTTAGTCTCCTCTGGGAGTTTTGAAGTTATGGTTCTGAAGACTTTTGTTATTTTTGATAACTTTGGCAGTTTTGAGTAGTAATGGTCAAGTCTTTTTGTTTGTTTTTATGTCTCACTATTATAATCTGTCTGATGCTTTTCTCAAGATAAGCATGGGGTTATAAGGGCCACCCTGGTGGCACAAGGGGTTAAGCTGCAGCACTACGAAACTATTCACAGCCACTGCAGCAGGAGTTTGACCTGTGCCAGGGAGGTGACCCACATGGCACAACAGACCTCTCCTGACTTGCCCGCTGCTCACCTTAGCAGTGTATTTCAGTCAATCCTCCTGTTCTGTTCTCCACTCTGTCTCTGGTGAATCCTCTCACCCCCCATCTCTTTGGCCTGTACCCCAGTTCTTGTATGCATAAATAAATTAATCTTAAAAAAAAGAGTGGGGTTATGGTCTGTTGGGAGGACAGCCATAGAGATCAAGAGACATCTTCATAGCATACCAAAGGTATAGTACTATCAATGTGATTTATAATGTTGATCTTGATCACCTAATATTTCAGATGTCCCTGCTATAAAGATACCTCGCTATCCCTTCAGTCCTGTACTTGTTGGAAGGCGGTTACTATGTGAAACTTTTCTCCAAATATGAATTAAATCAATCATTTATTTATATTCATATAGATGCATGGATTATTTTATGCTCTGAGTTATAATCCAATGCTACTTTATTTTGTTCAAATTGTGCCAGCTTTGACTGCTGCAAGTTGTTTCGGTTGGCTCTTTGCTCCTTTTGTTATAGGACAGGGAGAGGGGCAGCACAAAACCCCGCAAACCTGCCTGTTCTAAATGGGTTCTGCCATCCGCCGCATCAACACAAAACATAGGAGACTTTAATGGGAAGGAACTTTAATAAAACTAGGAAAAAATACAGGTAAGGCAAAGAGTCTAGTTTCTAAATGAAGCACCCAAAGTTACCCGTCCCCTCGTGGGTAAAACTCCATCCATATGGGATCGGCAAAGAACAAGGCCCCAAAGCCTGCCACAAGTCTAAAGCATCTTCCAGTGGGGACCCACAGAAACAGGTCAAAAACAACCAGACAAGCCCAGAAGGAAAAGAGCAAAATCAACATCAAGATAAAAGCTGCCATTGTCACCTCCCCATTGGTCTCACCCACATCTGTGTCACCCAGTCCACGACCAAAAGACAAGCGCAGTTTCTTCACATGTCTCTAGGCTCCATGTGCCTCCTCCAGGTCTCCTGGCTCCATCCTGCTTCCTTCCTCAGTCTCTTCTACAGCTTCTTCTCTTCCTTCTCAGCTCCACCCTTCTTTGGGTGGGGCAGGGAACCTGGAACCTCCCCTTTTCCTGGGGACCACCCTGTTACACTTTGACATATTCCTTTTGAACTTTGATGTGTGTGGTGTGTGTGTTTTTTAAATCTTCCTTGCTATCTGACACCACAAGACACTCTTAGCTCATCTTGTGTATTTTCTGCCCCAATCCTGGAATCAATTCTTTCTCCCAGAGGCCCTATTTCCTTTTATTAGAAAATGGTGGGCCTCCCCTGCTGGCGCAGCATTTGAGTGCTGGGCTGTGAAGCTGCCCGCAGCCTGTGCAGCGCTGGTTCGATCCCTGGCTACCGGCGAGGGTCCCACATGTTGCACAGAACTCTTCTGCTGCGCCCTTGCTTCCCTCAGCAGTATACCTCGGTCCTTCTGCCTGTTCTGCTCCCCACTCTGGCTCTGGTGAATTCTCTCACCCTCCTGCTCTTCTGACTGTACCCAGTGGTTGTATAAATAAATCTTTAAAAAAAGAAAAAAAAAAGAAAATGGTGATAGAAACCATGGGCCCTAAGCACATTTGTTGCAAAATCTATGTAATTTTGTTTAGGCTTTCTTAACTGAGAAAACAATGAAATATATGTATATACTAACCCATGTACATAAACATATCTTTAAGAATGTCTAAATGTAACCATAGGTATTTATATTGAGCTAAATATGCATACATACTGATGTCTCCAATTCTATCTATTAACAGAGAACATTCTAGTTTCTTCCCCTTGTTTATATGTACAGTGTGGTAAATTTCACTGTCACCATAAACTATCCACTTATTTATTTGTTCAAGTGCAATGCATAGCAGTTATCAACTTTATTAACACTATTCTTCCAACATCGTTGTTTTTCTAG